TCATTTCATCATACAAGATCACACACAGACTTGGAGCTCGGGTGGGGGCAGGGGACCTCAGAGAAAGAATCCAACCTCCTGTTTTGCCAAACGAGGAAACCAAGGCTCGGGGGAGTTGGTGACGTGTCCGAGGTGGCAAAGGCAGTACGCAGCATAACTCAGATCTGAACCAGAGTCCTCTGATTCCAAACTCAGTGCTTTCCCCACCTCTGAGAGCAACCACATGGCAAATATCACAGTAATCTAAGAGCAGGCTTTGGACTGAATTCAACCAAATAATCTAATTTTTCTTTTTTGCATTTTTTGCTGACATACCCAAATTAAAATGGCTCTCCATTGTAAGGGGGGAAAAACCTCATCAAGTTGAGGATGGCGGGAAAAGGAAACATCCCTCAATGGAAAAGGGAGCGTACTGACCTCGCTTCCTCTCTCCATGACTTGGACAACTCTTCAGGATGGAGCTGCAGGAAAGAGGGCCTGGAATCCAGGACACTCCAGACCCAGCTGGATTCCTAGTACCATCATTCCCTAGCCTGGGCTAATGACTATTGAAGAGAGGGGAAGGAAGTGAGAGGCTGGAATTAAATAGAGGAATAGAGCCAAGACCACTCGGGAAAGGGGCCTGGTGGGCAGTTTTCACTCCCGTTTCTTCAGTTTCAATACCTTGACTTTGAAAAGTCAGAATCACAGACTCACTGGAAGACCCACATTGAACTGGTAGCCAGAGGGCCCAGGGTGGAATTCTGGCTCTGCCTCTTACTCTTTCGTGACCTCAGACAAGTCATTTCACCTCTTTGGGTCTCAGTTTCCTCATCTTTAGAGTGGGGAGGCTGGACAAGGTAAGCGCCAAGGTACCTACCTCCCAGCTCAAAATTGATGATGTCTCTTAGACCTCATATAGAATTCAACTTGGGAAGAGAGCCAACTTTTTTTTGGGGGGGGCGGCATAATTTTTTTAAATTTTGCCCTCAACTTGTGTCTTCACTGGTAAAGGAGACACCCAGATAGGAAATTCCTTTTCCCTTTATAAATCTCATCTGCCTGACCTTGGACAAGTCATTTCCCCTTTTTTGGTCTCAGTTTCCTCCTCTGTAAAATGAGGGGACAGACAAGATGGCCCCTAATTCCAGCTCATCATTAGGATCTAAGGATCTGTGGTTCTTCAGTAATTTAGAGAGATGACCAGTGACTTGCCCAGGGTGACACAGACGATACACTTGAGAGGCAGAGGAACGTGAACTCAGGCGTTCCTTTTCCCCCACCAAGCTCTGCTGCTTCTCTGTACTTAGAATCACAGCATCTTTAAAATCGGGAGGATCTTCTGTTTGATGGCTCCATTTTACAGATGAAGGAGCAGGGACCATCGAGGGGAAGGAGCAAACCTAAGCAAGGACGAAGGCGTTTGGGAGCAGGTGCTCGCCTGCATGGGTCAGAGGGAGCTCCCTTTCTCAGGGAGTATCAATGAAACCATGAGTCCAGCCCCCAGCCCCCATCCTAGACCACTGTCTTGCCAACAGGAGAGCAGGCAGAGGGTTAGCTTATGGTACCATTCACAAGAGAAATCCTTCAGGTAAAAAAAAGGACTCGTCCTTTTCAGCATCCCAAGAAAGCTGAGTGAAAAACGTATAACACTACTCCTCCTTAACCTACAAATAAACCACAGGGTGCCTCCTCCAGGATGCCATCGTCTTTTGTCACATAGTCAATCATTATCACAAGTCATGAGCATAGGATCAGGAACTGGGAAGATGCAGAGAAATCACTTGGACCAACTCCCTCCATTTTACAGATAAGGAAACTGTGACCTCCCACCAACCATACAGGCAGTAAGTAAGAGAGCTGACATTCAAGCCTGGGGCCTTCCTCTGACTCCAAACCCGATGGTCTTTTGACTGTACTGTTGTGTAAAGATACATTAACAACGCATTTTACAGAGTGGAGTTGATGGTCTAAAGATTTGGAGTAATCCATCAGTAACCATAAGAAGTGAGGTCTCTTGTGATCTCTTGCTATAAGGCTACTAAATTGTTGTCTCTTCCTCTAGTTGAAAAACCCATCTGATTAATTCTGATGATTTCACTGCATTTGGATCTCAGGATCTCTATATCATGTTCATTTTCTTGTCCTGAATCCTCGGATGCTCCAATGGCCATCCCTAAATGGCTCAACTTAGATGTTAATGGCCCTAGAACCTCATCAATTACTGTACCCCCTCCAACAGTGCAGATGAATGAATGAATGAATGAATGAAAAAAGCCTTTATTAAGTCTTTCTAATGTGCCAAGTTATGAGCAAAGTGCTAAAGATAAAACCAGAGAAGTAAAACGATCCCTTCCCTTAAAGAGCTCACATTCTAAGAGATGACACCAATACGCATATAGGAGGGGTCCACTGTAGGGCAGATGGCAAGGTCCCCAAGTCCTTCAAATGCAGCATCTATAGATTCCCCAGGGTAAGAGGCCTGAAGGGGATGAGCCCACTAGCCCTGGGAATAGGGGACTGGCCTTAAGGATGAGAATGAAGTAGGGAGTCTGGACTCAGAACCCTCTGACAAGGTTGGCTATTGGGGGGTCCTGTAGGAGGGGGACAGGGACAGAAACTTGGGGGTCGGGAGTAGGGATCTGGGAGAGGGCCACTGGCCCTGAGCAGCCCATCCTAGGTCATTCTTACCTGTGCCCTTCCATAGAGGATGGAGGATCTTCCTAATGCCCTAAGGACCTTCCCCTAGGTACCTGACCATTCAGCGTGTATCAGGCTGTCCACCTCTCATCCTTTGCCCTTGCTACATCACCAGTCCATCTTCCCTTTCTTCTTTTGAGCCAAAACTGCTACATGTGACACTGTTAAAACTTAAGTGAAACACTCAGTAAAAACTTATTCAGTGAATGACAGCCTGAAGGAGAAGATTCCTCTGGTAGCATAGATCCAGGGTGAATTCCGTGACCCTTTGGCTCTCCTTCCAAAGCCTATACTTTGGTTGTAGCTGGTCAGTCAACAAGCATCTATTAAGCACCTACTATATGACAGGCACTGTGCTAAGCACAGGAGATACAGAGGTCCCTGCTTTCAAGTAGCCCACATTTTCAAGAGGAAGAGAACATGTAAATAACTTTGTACAAACAAAGTATAGACAGGATAAATTGGAGGGGACCTCAGAGGCAAGGCACTGAGGTTAAGGAGGCTGTCCAACCAGATGTGGTCTCCCTTCAGTGTCTCAAACTCACGCATAGGTGAGCCCCTCCAATGAAGTCATACAGATAGTCTGAGCATTTGGGGGTCTGGATCCATCCTACACATGCTGAGGTCTGGCTGAGCTGGCCTCCTGTCTGTTCCTCACTCATAACACTGCATCTCCCACCGGTATACCTTTGCACTAGCCTTGCCTTCCTCCTAGAGTGCCTTCCCTCCTCATCTCTTCTCTTAGAATCTCTAGTTTGTCTCTAGTGACCCCTTTTAAATGAAGTCTTTGCTGGTTCACTCCCATCCCTGACCAGCTGACTGTGCTCCTCACCTTCTTGCCAAAATACCTTGTATTGGTTCTGAATAAATCTTGTGAATTCTGTGTGAATGTTTTCTCCCCTAAGAGAATGTAGCCTCTTCGGGGAGAGGAATTGTTTCACTCTGGTTGTTGTATGCCAATAATCACAAACTGCCTAGCATATAGTAATTATTTAACAAATGTTTGTTGGTCATGGGATATTCCCAGTGCCTAGCAGTGGATGGAACACAGTCGGTGCTTAATCAATACTTATTCACTGACTGGGGCTCCACAGACCTGGGTTCAAAGCCCCATATTTTCCCTTACCATGTAGAGTCCGTCAAGCTTCACATTTGTGTGAACCCCCAGACTGATGTTACCCATAGAGCCAGAGGGTCCTGCCAGCACCAGGGATGTGCTCTCTATAACAGCTCAATTACAAGAATTGGAAACTGGTCAATTATTCTCCTTCTTTGGAGATGGCAGTTGTGATAATTACTGTCTCCCTGCCAGAGATGTGAGTGTGTCTTATTGAACGGCCCAGCATGGAACCTCCCCCAATATCTCATCTCCCTCTCTTCCTGAGCAAAATCCTCCCACCAGTATTGATGGATTGAAAGCGGGGGGCAGCTTCTCCCCTATCCCCTCCTTCCAAACCCAGCTCTCAAAGCACTGGAAATGAAATTCTGGGGATAGAGGAATTCCTCATCCCCTTTCCTGAGCCTTCTTGATTCAGTGTGAAGCCTCACAAACAATACTTAAAAAATACAAAGCAGAGGAAAATGGTTATATTGTATCACTAGCAAGACAGCTGGAATCCACTCACACTGAGCATCCCAAGATACCATTTGGATCCCGCCTTCCAAGAGCCATCAACAGAATGCCCCCTTGCCTCCAGTTTTAACCACAGACAAACAATAGAACTCTTGTTCAGACACATGATAGCTTAGGGAAAACTCCCTTTTGGTTCTGTCCTTGGCCAACCCTTATTGACAAGTTCCTATTGGTGTTTTCTGTACAAATGCCACTAGGGTTTGGTCACCCCCACTTCTGCTCAGCTATTTCCAATGACTGTACCTGGGGTGGGGAGCACATCTTAGAAACACTTCAACAAATGGATACACCCCTGGTGACACACAGGCACTTGTCTCTGGCTTTCATCTCAGGACTCACATTCTCCAAACCCTCTGACCAAAAGGAGAAACATCTCAATGCTAGTTGGAAAAACTTGCCAGGCAATTGGAACAAACTCAGGGTGAGGGTCCAGGAGTCAAGGACAGAAAAGCTCCCAGACCTTCTGAAATCTGTTCTCACAGGATGGTGACAAATGGTATTTTTATCAGAGAAGGTTCGTCCAACACCTTCCCATTGTAACCCACAGACGGTGCCGAGGGCCAGTGAAAGATACCCCCATCCCTAGTGGACTCTCCACCAAACACACTGTTCCACTGAATCAAACAGGGAAATGGAAGAACCCCTCCCCATCCCTTCAGACCTGAGCCCCCAGAAGAAACCCTCTTACTTGCTCAGGCTTCTCGGGCTCTTTTCTGTCCGTCTGCAGAAACTGGCAGTTTTCTCTGGCGAGTTTCTGGACAAGTTCGATTCTCCCGATGTCATCTCTCTCCTGAAGTTTGCACATCACTCCTGCCTTGAGGGTTGGAGAAAGAGCAAAGATATACTTGAATCCACAGTCCCAGGACATGGCCCTCCTCCCAGTGGAACGTTACAATGAGAAGCTCATCTTTGGAGGGGCCACTCGGCCTTAAATCATGGATCCCATCAATTTCTTGGGTCCCAGAGAGGAAAGCACCCGCTGACCCGCTGTCTGTCTATATTGCCTTTAAGACACTGAAAGGCAGCCCTCGCTGCAGTCAACTGCTACTCTGTGTGTGTGCCCGATATGCTACCGTTTGTTTGTTCCTGTCAGCCTGCTTCCTGTTACATAAGCAAAGCCTAGCAAGAGGTTAAAAACTCATGGGAAAGTTAGCCAGGAACCTCTCTGGCGTGCAAGAAAAAAAAAATGAAACCATGAGGCAGGGTCCTAAAAATAACCCAGCTGACTGTCCCATTCTACAGGGTTTCTACTACATGAGTAAAATATTGTGGTTATAAAAAAAAATTGTAAGTTAATCATTCCTCTTACAACTGAGAAATTATCCCGGGACAGGAATGAAATTTCTCCATTTAAGTATTTTTTTTTCCTAAGACACATCCAGGATAACAAATTGACTTTAAAGTGGAAAATTAACTTGGGGACAGGGTGGCATTGTGGAGGGAACACTGGGGTGGGGGGTGGAAGGCTTGGCCTTTTGGTCCAGGCTCTGCCCCTTCCTAGCTGCGTGACCACGGATCAGCCCCTGACCCTCTCTGGACCCCAGTTTTCTTTGCTGTGGGATAAGAGGGTAAGAGGGGATGACCTTGAAGGTTCCTTCCTGCTCCAAATCTACGAACCTGGGAACTAGACAAAAGCTGGAAAAGAAGAAATTGGTGAAATACTGAAAAGATAACTTCTAGAAGAGGTGCCTGGTGTTTAATTGGTCCGGGGTGCATCCAGATCACTGGGAAAATCAAAGTTTCTTATGAAATGCTTTGAGGCCAGGGCAAAGATGACAGGGCAAAATGCAACTCTGGGCTGAATTCTCCACAGTTCCCAGTGGCCCATGATTGTACTCGATGACGACTTTGAAGCCAGGCTTGGCCGGAGTAGATGGAGGTATTGTTCTCTGCACTACAATAGAAGCCACAGAATTGGACTTTATTACATCAATATCTGTTTCTGATGACTATAAGTAGGAAGTGAGCAGGGTGGGGGGGTGGGAAGGGGAGAGCAAGCACACTACATAATAGTAGCAAAGAACAGTAGAAAGATTGGGGAATTTTCCCTCAAGTTTCTGGTGTTTCCCTCCTACAACACTCTTGGCTTTAAACATTCATGATCAAGAGGAAGCATTAGAGATTGGAGAACATGAATTCTATTGGGCTTCTTAACAGAGAAAGGAAACTTCTCCAACACCCTTAACCAGGCAAAAGTGTCCTCTTAGGCCAATGAAGAAACCCAATCAATGTGCATCTATTAAGCACCTACTATGTACCAGACATGAAACTAGGTCCTGGGATGTAAAAACAGAAATTTAATGGTCTCTTTCCTCAGGGAGCTTACGACCTAGGTAGGGAGAAAATATGAACTTATGTAAGTCTGTACAAAAGTCAGTACGATGGTAATGGCCCAGGCTGCAGAGGATGACCTCGGCATCTTCCATGTCTGACCAAGCTCTAAGTGCTCCACAGCACCTGCTTCCACCACCTTCGTGGCCACTGGAACAAATTCTTCCCATCTGCCCATTCCACCAGAAGTTCACGTGCTTGGGGTAGACAGCCCCCTCACTCACCAACGGGCTTGAGGTTTGTTCGTTATCCTTATCTTGGCTGAGCCCAGTTTTACCTGAGACTGGCTTTACCAGGGTGTAGAGGGTGTTCAGAAAGGACCAGCACCTCTGATGTGAGGGCTGCTGACCGCCTTCCAGGGCTGTTCACCCACCTTTACCCAACTCTCACCCATGGCTCTCACCTATGGCTCCAAGAAGCTCTAGCATGTGCAGTGACCACAACGCAGTAAAACTGGCACGTGCAGATGCTTGATAAATGTCTACTGATTGACTGATGCAATCGCTTCATCTGTGAAGTGGGGATGATAATACCTTCTTGGGCTGGTGTAAGCCTCATATTAGATAACGTGTGTTCAGTGTTGTCTAATTAAATAACCTTAAAAGGCTAATTTAATACTAGTCATTGTCACTATCACTAATAATGAAAGTACTTCAGAAGGTCTAACATAAGGAATTTCCTGTCCTCCCATTCCAGTCAGGGACCAGCTCTTTTTCTTCTGTGCTGCTGATGCAAGACACAGGCACTGCTGGTCTAATTCAAGGAAAGCCCCATTCAGCTGCCCAAACTACTCTGAGTACTGGGCACAGACAGTTCTCACTTGATATAAACTCACACCACACAATTTCAACTCTATGTAAGGCATTCTGAAAGAAATCTGCATTCCAAAAGAATCCCCATGTTAACTCTACTGTACGGCAATACGCTCTCTCTCCCCCTGACCCAGCACCAAGCAGCCTCCCCCCACCAGCACCAAAAAGGCCCTAAAAACGTAAACAAAACCCTCCAGATGAAAGCAGAACCGATGTGCAGAAAGACTGCCTTTGCAGCTGGAAACAGAGCTTGGCTTGAGACCCCTGGCACCCCTGAAGGCCTTTGCCCCACTCCACCCAGCTGCATGTCTTCCTCAGCCCCCACACATCCTTGAGCCTCCTGTTGGCCCTCTTCCTCCACGGGTGCACAGCCCACTTCCTGCCTCCCTTCCTCCTTTCTCCACATCTCAAGGCAATTTCACATTATATAAGAAATGCTTTACATAGAGGTCTACAGAATGGTCCACTTACATAAAGAGAGGACTGTCTGTATTTTCCATCTGTTTAATGACATCTTGGACGTGTGAGCCATTCATAAGGGCAATAAAGGTGCTCAACCATAACCATAGCAGGTATAGGTCAAGATGTTGACCCAATCTAGAAAATTAATGAGGTTTACAGGCTGGTTGTCCTATGTCCTCACAAGGATTAACACTCTCTCCTTTATGTTGGGAGATGAGACAAGATAGCTCAAGGTAGAAAGACTTGGGTTCAAATCTTGCTCCTGAAATTTACTAGCTCAGTGACTCTGGCCATCCCATTTCACTTTCAGTTTTCCTATCTGTAAAATGGGTACAGTATTCCTGTATGACCCACCTTAGAAGGTTGAAGTTGTCTGCAAAGCTCTTTGCTAATTTTAAACCATAACATAAATGGCAGTTATGATATGATCACTATCGTGGTTATGAAGATAGCGTTAGCGTTGTATTCCCAGTAGGGCACCGGGCCCTTGGCTTTGTTTCAAAAGTGGGAATGGATCTACACCATCCAACCTCTATTTCCAGTCAAGTTTCCCTTACACATAAAATCCAAGCTCAAGAGAGGCACACACAGCTCTGCACCCCTCAAAGCCGAGGGGCTCCTCTCCCATTGCAGGATCAAACCCAGTGTTTTGTCTCCATGGCACCATATATGAACCAACAACGCTCAGAAGAGATTGCTAGTGGCAGGGATTTTATGAAGCATCCTTTCCTTGGGCCAAGGAGCACAGAGGCAGACTTTGGGTAAACAGTATTACTAGCTGTATTGTGAGGGGATATAAGAAGTCCCGTCTGTCTGGGATGTCTGGGTTTTACAGCTTTTAGGAAACAATACGAGTTCCTCATTTAATGTGGTTGTGACTCTAAGCGCAGCATTTGCTTTCATTAGGAAACGCCTATTTTTATGTGTACCTGGAGACATGGAGACACTTGATGAATCCAATGGAAAAAAGGTACATACCATTACTTTTTTAAATGGACTTGCACAGACTCAGACAGCCACGTCAGCTGCTATTCTGATAGCTTGATATTTTCATAATTAAAGGAAGAAAATTATGTACCTGATTTTCTGATTTCGGCAGTAGAATTAACTTTCACAAATGCGATTTTGCATGGTGATTAGCTTGAATGTTCTCATTACATAACCACCAACCAAGCAGGCTTACAGGGCAGGCAGGTCATGCTAGCTCACTGATTGCCCAGAGATCTTTCAGGCTCAGTTCGGCATCCATATGTCTGGGATGGCTTATAAATGTAGGCCTTCCTAAAAGCAGGAGGCATAACCAGATGTCCTCCTGGGGTCTATTTGAGGACTATAATTTAGTGACAATTCCAGAAACCCATGACTTCATTAATTCACTTTGGTGGCCAGACTCCTGTTCAGTCCCTGTGATAACCACAAGAAACCAGGATCCAGAGTTCCGCCATCCTGGTCTATTTAATTTATTGATATGAAATGGATTATGAATAATTTAATGAATGCTGATGAACCAGAAGAATCATGGATTAATGGTGAGACTGTCAAAAGAAGCATCTTATTTTAGGTTCTTTAAAAGGAGGAGAATAAAGTCACCCTCTGAATTCCAGGCAAACAGACTTAAAAACTTCCTCGAACTCATCATATGGTTTCCTACCTCCATGTCTTTCTACAGGCTGATCCCCGTGCCTGGAACATAAGAATCTCTAATTTCCTTCAAGGTTCAGCTCATAAGTCACCTCCTTCAAGAAGGTTTTCTGGATCCTCCTAATTATTAGTATTTCTCCCCCTCCTCCATGTCTTTTTGTATTTGAGACTGCTGGGTGGTACAGTGGATGGAGTGCTGGGCCTGGAGTCAGAAGACCTGAATTCAAATCTGGCTTCAGACACTTACTAGCCATGTGACTCTGGGCTTGTCACTGTAACCTATGTCTGCCTCTGTTTCCTCAACTGTAAAATGAGGATAATAACGGCACCTGAATCCCAGGGTTGTTATATGGATATAACGCAATCATATTTGTAAAGCACTTTGAAAACCTTAAAGAACTATGGAAATGCTAGAGATTATTATTATTATTTATCTACCTACGGATTTGTTTTTTTTTTTCCAATAGAATACACACTGTGTAGGAGCAGGGGCTGATACATGCCTACTTCTGTATCCCATTTTTGCCTGTCTTTTTATCCTCAGAGCTTAGCACAGTGCCTGGCACGTATTTGGCATTTAATAAATATTTGTTGACTTGACTTTCATCTCCGGCACTTTACTCACTGCCTGCCGTATAGTTGGTGCTTAATAAATGTCGGCTGACTTGAATAGACTTGAGAGCGGTGGATATAATTTTCAGTAGAGCAGTTCTTCTCTATGGCAACATTCTGATTACAGTAGCAAATGTGTCCACACCTTTTTGTTTCAAGATGAGACTTTGTGTTGATCAATCCACAGCCAGCAAGCTTTTCTGAATTGCTGGCTATGTGCTTGGGACTACCCCGAGTATCGGGAATTCAAAGAGAAAAATGAGAGCCTCTAGTCAAGGGGGCTTATATTCTATCGGGAGTGAGTGATCTGCGTATAGAAGCATATTCAAAATAGATACAACGTCATGGGGGGGAGGGGTGTTAGGAACGGCTCCATCAGGAAAACGTGAGATTCTCCAGGGAAAGGCTTAAACAATGAGAAATGACTAATCTTCGCGTGAGGAAAGGTCAAATGCTTCTAATCTACAAAAGCACTATTTGCTTTATTTCTACGTTCAACTTCAAAAAAATACAAGTTCCACAGATCCTTCTTCTAAAATACCAAGTTAAGTCAGCTTGACAGGCGTGAGAGCCGTCAAAGAGATACCAGTGGGGGCTCCAAAGGCCGGCTCTCCTCTCTATCTGCCTTTTTGATGAGAGTCTCGTTAACTGCAGCCTTCCCTGGCTGCTACTTCTGAAATCGACAACATAATGAATGTAGTCATGCTACTGCTCAGCCACTTTAAAAAGAGCGCTGGGAGCGGTATTTCTACTTATTCGAGTAGTACACAGTGACAATCAGAATAAGAAAAAGATACTAAGTAACAACAGCTGGCATTTCTGGTGAAATACAAGATTTATAAAATGCTTTGCTCATTGCAGCTGTATGAGGGAGGTAGTGTAATCATTAGCACCCTCCAATCTGCAGGTGACAGGAATTGCTTCTGAATGCAGATGTCAGGTGTCTTGAAAGGTCTTTGAAGTCAGGTCTCGGGGCTCCAGACTGAGTGCTCTATCTGTTAAGCCACCCTGCCTGCCTCTCAATGGACTGTGGATGAAAGGATCACAGACTTACAACTGGAAGGAGGCTCAGCTGCCTCCTTAATGCTCTTCTTTACATTTCTGTGCATTTAGAAGCCACAACTTCAATTTATCTTATTAGGAGAGCAACTCCTTTAATCATAAAAATGCCTAATAGAGGCTACGAAAACACTGATAGTGACTGTTCCTTGGGACGTGAGAAGAGTCAGTGAAAACCAAATGTATCCTCCGGCAAACTGGGTAATGGAAAGAATAAATACTAAGGAAAGTGTATAATGAGAAAGGGCATGATAGAACACATGAATAATGACAATACCATTTCCATATTCATGTTAAGGTTTGCAAAGCATTTTCCATATATCATTCTATTTGATCCTCATGACAATCCTGGGAGGTAGGTGCTATTATTATGCTCATGTTCCACAAAAGGAAACTGAGGCTAAGTGACAGTAAGACTTGCTCAAGGTTACACAGCTGAGTATTTGGAGCAGGATTCAAACCCAGTTCTTCCTGACTCCAGGCCCAACATTCTACCCACTGTACCACCTAGATGCCCAGATAGGCTCATACACCACTAGAATCTCCACTGTCCCCCACATCCAGGCTGGGTTGTCATTGAACTTTAGAGCTTAGGGTTTGAAAGGTCATTGAGTTTAGCCTCTTTGTTTCTACAGATGACGAAGCTGAGCCTCAGAGGCTGTGACTCTCCCAAGGTCACACACTTAGTAGGATAACGAGGTCCTGAAAAATACATTTTGCTTGTCACGTCATTTTTTCCTGGGTGGCTGTGGCCAAAGAATTCATTGCCAAGTAGTTGGTTTATTGGGTCTGAGTACTCTTTGTACCTAGCTTAGCTGGGCCTCAGACAACGGAATCAGTGGGTCACTGGGAATGTATGCAGAACCCACTGAGCATAAAACAACCTGCTGAGGCTTATGCTTCCCTGATGTGCCTTGGAGAAGCCCAGGTTGTCTTCATGGGGCTCAGGTGGCAAGAATGGGGGATTACCCGGGGCTGTACTGGTATCCCCAAAATAGAACATCCTCTGGGCAGAGCCCCAGCAGTTGGGGAGATGCCCTGCAGGGGCTTGAGAGGGAAATGTGGCCAAGAGCTGGAATAAGTGGATTCCGTTCTGCAATGTTGGAGGGGAGTCCCCAGATCAAAGACCACAAATTCACTGATGCATCTGATAAAACAAACCTGTTTTCAGGTAGGAAATAAATGTGCTTTTAACATCAAATTTCCATCTCAAGAATAGTTTTATCTCTAATGGATTTAAACACTGCCTCTGCCACTTAGCTGTGTGACCGTGGGCAGGTCCCCTAAGCGCCCTTGGCCTCAGCAAACCATGTAAGATGGAAAGTTACAGATGGGTTATGGTGTGCATTGGTGGGAGGAGTTCAGATACAGATGATTCCAACGAAATCAGAGGCCCTTGGCCTACCAATATCTTGAGAAAATGGGGATGTGGAAGTGGAGGAATTTATGAAGAGAGTAATCTGAAAGCTCAATCTGTCAGTCAAGTGTGAACTTAGAGATGAAAGGCAGCATGGCCTGATGGATTTGGGGCCAGCCTTGGAAACAAGAGGTTCTAGATCCACGTTCTGTTTATGACATAACCTAATTATGTGACCACGAGCAGGCTGCTCACTCAGTACTCCAGGCAACTCTTTCAGATGATATGCTATGGACACATCACTAATCTGTATCAGTGGAGGGAGCATCCATGCTGGGAGTTCTCTTCATGGATTAAAAAACCACAGGTCCATAATCCCCTCCCCAACTAAATAAACAGATAAACAAATCAAATTTGGGAATGGCAGCAATTATCCAAACAGAAAACAACTTCAAAATAGGATTTTTCTAGAAATGACACCCCAACACCACCTAAGAAGAACCACCCAAGCTCTTGACAATATCACCTCCTTGTGGCAGAACTTTATGGTCAAGAAAAGAAAGTTGACCATGGTGTCCAACTTCAAAGGGCATATTTTTGGCCTAAAGTGAACAACTGTTCAAACCAAGCCATTCAGAGTTTTCCTGATGCAAGAATATTTGCAGCTTAGTTGCATCTACCTCCAGCTGGATTTACTCTCCATGTCTGAAATGTCATCGAAATGTCATGGCTACATCTGCCAAAGAGAGCCCGACTCAGCACTCCAGCTTGGTGCCCTTCTCTTATCCCATCTCTAACATTAAGGTTAAAGATTTGATTCCCAGCAATATGGTTTTGTTTACTCAAGATAAGGGCGACCGATCGATATCATTTAGTAATACCCCCATCCCAAGTGAAGCACTCCCCAGCCCCAGGATAGGGGAAGGACACATTATCATTTAGAGCAATACTTAGAGCTTCCCATACCTGGGAGTCAGAGAGGCCATCATCCTCAGACACCGTCTGTGTGTCCTCATTCTCTTCATCTTGATCGAGAGCTAAAACAACAAACAAAAGGGGGTGCTCAGAAGGAAATAAACAAGTCAAATATGTTTTGTTTGGGGGGAGGGTTAGGGTTTGGACAGTATCTATTTTCTGTCAACTCAATTCTGGGGAATACACATTTTTAATGGCAATATTAACCACAACTGTTTTTGCCTCTGTCGGATCAGTGGTCATGGAAAAAGAAGCAGTCAGCACATGAGCTTCACCCCCATTTCTACAAAGCCTGAGTCAACAGGATGATTTCAGAAATTAGCAGGGGATAGGGGAAGAGTAAGAGATGTTTTTCAGTGGCATGGAGATGACAGTATATGAATTCTGAATTTTCCAATTGGCACCTTTTTTAATACCTAGATTTTTAAAAAATAAGTTTTATTGATTTTGTTCTTTTAACATCCATTTGCACAGGGTCCCATTTCCCATTCCCTTTCCTTATGATTAAAAAAAGAGGGAGGGAAAAAAACCTCCAGCAAAACTAACCGACACACCACAAAAATCTGTCATAATATTCAGTGTTCCACACCCATGGTTCCCCACCTCTGCAAAGAAACAGGAAGAGATTGTTTCTCCTCCCTCTTCTTTGGGCACAAGCTTAGCCAGGATAATCTCACAGTGTTCAGTTCTGAATGCTTTGTGGTTGGGGGAATCCCCCTGGTTCTTCTTGCTTCACTTTGAATCAGTTCATCTAAACCTTCCCAAGCTTCTCTGTATTCATCATAGTCATATCTTTTCCTTATGGTGCAGTAATAGCTCATTACAGTCACACACCGCAATTTGTCGAACCATTCCCTAATCAATGAGCATTTACTTTGTTTCTAATTCTTCGCTACAAAAAGGGCTGCCCTAGGCATCTGGGAGCATGTGGGGGCTTTCTTTCTGTCATCGACCTTTTTGAGGTGCAGCCCTAGCAGAGGCATCTCTGGGTCAAAAGACATGTTCATTTTGTTGTGCTATTTGCCTTGTTCCAAATCATTTCATAGCATTGTATTCATAATTCTAGCCTAGCATCTGACTTCTCAGATCCAGGTCACTCACTTCTGTGCCTCAGCAGAATTCCACTTTCCGTCTAATCCAAACCTTCTTTGCTGCGTACCTATTCGATGATGCTGTCCTCCATCCTGGTCTTCTCACGTTCTAGCTCTTGCCTGTTCCTATCTGTCCCATATAAAAAGATTAGAATTCTCTTCCCCATTACAGTGCCTGGCACATAGTAGGTGCTTAATAAATGCTTGATTGGTTAATCGATAGGTAACCTCCAGTCTCTAACTTCACCTGTCATTACTCCCCATTCTTTCACAGAATAGCTAAGTTAGAAGGGTCTCACCCAACCCAGGACCCAAAAGAATCCCTATCTTTCCAACTATTATGTACCAGTTGATTACTCTACCTCATATGTCTCTCTCTTCTTGTGCCTGGTCTTTTTTCTTCCCAATTTCAAACCAAACTACAATTCCTGTCCCTTGTTTTTACTCCTTTCTTCAAAAGCCAAATCTGAGGAGCATCATGGGGAACCGCTGATTTGGAGACAGAGGACATGAGACAGAATCCCAGCTCAGCCACTTTCTGTCCAGTGACCTCGGGCAAATCACTTCACTTGCCTTTGCCTCAGTTTCCTGATACATAAAATGAGTACTTCAGGATTTCTTAACCTGAGGTTCATGATTTTAAAATAGGTAGATACATAGAGAGATAATTACATTTCAGTAAAATGAGTTTCTATGGCAAGCCTATGTATTTTATTTAACAGGATTCTAAGAAGGGGTCCATAAATTTCATCAGATTGCCAGAAAGGTCCACGACACAAAATGGATGAAGAGCCTCTGCCCTAGATAACTTCATAGGTCCCTTCTAGGAAATCTAAGGAAGGAAGGAAATAAGCATTTATTAAACACCTACTGTGTGCCAGGAATTATGCTAAGCACTTTACAAATATTATTTCATTTGATCCTTACCACAATCTTGTGAGGCAGATGATTTTATTATTCACATTTTACAGATGAAGAAACTGAGGTAAACAGATTAAGCACTTGCCCAAAGTCGCACAGCTACTATCTGAGGTCAGATTTGAACTCAGCTCTTCCTGATTCCAGGCCCAGTACTCCCTCCATTGTACCACCAAGTTGCAACTCTGTCCCTATGATTCTTCCTTAACTGATCTCAGCTGGCTCAGACTACATCTCTACTCTATTCATAGGTTCCATTTACCTCAGTATTTTTTTAAAATGGAAAAAATCCGGTTTCACCGATATGGGAATTCCATTCACTAATGCTGGTTGTGACCCCTCCCTGCCTTAGTATACAGCTTTCAAGAGTAGCTGTGGCCAAAAGTGTTCATCGCCTGCTGGTCATCTTTCAGGGGCAGTCTCTCGGCAGAGGGCTCCTACTTCACAGGAAGGCTCTAACAGTGTGGCCGGCCGGGGTGGTAGGACCCAATGGAGCATATGCTTGGTTTAGATGGTCTTGGAGAATCCAGCTATGCTATGGTAGCAAACCTGAGCAAGGCAGTGTGTGAGGCAGCTAGTAATGAATGTTTGGGTTTTCATTGCTTTTGCCTCTGCTAGAGTCTTCCTCTGGCCTCCATCACAGGATGGGGGTAATCTCAGGGTCCTGATGGCTTTGTCCACGGAGTGCAGTTCTGGCAGGCCCTGTCCAGCTGCACAAGCTGTGACTGTGGCATCTCAGAATCAGCCTGGCTCAGTTCAGAAGGGGCTCATCACCACGAGGTTGGTTCCATAGTGAGAAATTAACCTGGTCATGGAAACTCACAAAGACCATGTACAAAGACTCAGCTCAGATCTTCCCTTCTGTAGGACTAAGATTACCTCCTATCTACTCCCTGTACAGTTTTGAATTATTTACACATAGCATCCCTCATTAGAATGTGATCTCCTTAAGGGCAGGGAATGTGTTTTTTCCTCTAGGAATCCACAGAACTCAGCACGAGGCCTGGCACAAAGTAAGTACTTAATAAATGCTCACTAGCTGACTACAGCGATTGAAATCTGCCACGGGGAGGTAGGACCCATGCCTACCAAATCAGACTTTGGAGGTTTTAGCCCAGCATTGACACCATTCCATGAGCATTTCATTTCCCCTACCAGATTGAGTTTCTCCCAGAAATCGGTTGCATTCACTGTTTCCTGGCTGCCCTCAGCACAGTAAGAAAAGGGCTCAACTCAAAGACGCTGAGTGTGAATCCTGGCTGGGCCACTCACTACCTGTATGACCTAAGGTAAGTTGCTTCATTTCTCCTGGCCTCAGTCTGTTCACCTGCAAAATGGGGGGTCAGCCTAGATGGCCCCTGGGGCCCTTCCTGGTTTTGGACCCCGGATCCTGATCTATGGTCTTGTAAGTTCTCATCCCCTGCCATATTCCGCCACCCTCAACATGTGGTGGCTAGAGGAAAAGGAGCCGTCACGAGAACAACATTAGAATGAACGTCAAGGCTCAGGTTTACAAAACCGTCCCACAAATCCCCCAGATCAAAATGGCCTTCATCCCTATTATATTTACTGGTCTAATCTCCCTGCTTTAGCAAAGCGCTTTTCTGTAGAAAAGGGAAGGGCAGATTGTGTGAGTAAATTCCTCAGATAATGCATCAGCCCCTCCAGCTGAGCCTTGGAAGGCCAGGTAACAGCAGTTGGGGCAAGCCTGCTTTGTCAATTTGCAGCCAACAGGTTTTTTCATGCCTCTAACCCAGGAGCTGCTGGAGCTCAGGCCAGCTGGGCATGGAGGGATGGAAGCCCCCAAAACAAAGCTTATTTCCTCTGAAAGCTGGGGCGGGGAAGCTGCAGAAAGGGCTAAGTGCAGGGGAGCAAATACTGCTTAATAGTGTATAAAAGCCCGGTGCCAGTAGGTTTTCATTGGAAGTGGGGGTGGCCCAGAAGCCTGCTTCAAACCAGATTTAAGAAGAGGCATTATTGAAACCATGTTACATGTGGGGTGGGTCCTACACTGGGGAGTCAGTCACGGGGCTCCCGATACCTTTTTGGAAAACCTCTCAGGAAATTCACATCCCATTTCTACACCAAATCCTCACTGAATTCTGGCAATATTGAGCGTCAATTTCAGTGAAAGTTAGCAAGGCCGAATCTTGGACTCCTAAAATCTGTGATCTCATCCAAGACCAGCCACCTCTGGTCCTTTAAGCCACCAGGCTCTGAGGTTCACAGGGTGGACATCCTGATGGGCAGGGACTGACACGAAGTAAGCACTATAGAAATGTTAGCTATTGTTATTATTATCATTATAGAGCAGGAAAATAATAGGAGCTTCCTCCCAGGGTGGCTGGGGGCATCAAATGAGATAATAATTGTAAGGCATTTAGCATGGTCCCTGGCCCATAGCAGGTGCTATGTAAATTTTAATTATTATTATTATTAATATTCATCCCTTCTCAGAAGAATGTGATTAAGTGAATAAGATAAATTGCATAGGATTACAAAGGAAACCAATTATAGTAAAATATAGCTGTCAAAATATTTTTTAAGAGTATATATTACAGATGAATTCCTGATCATCATGGGAGGAGGAAGTGTATATGTACTTACTTACAAGAGAGTTCCCTATACCAATAATATCACAGGTCCAGACAAAAAAATAAAGGAGGAGCTCAAAGCACTTTGTACATTCACTTACTAATGCCCATCCTACCCTTCCATGAGGCTGACAGGATTCACAGCCTGAATCTGACTTGAAATGTTCTATCCCTTTGTCCCTCCAAAATCAAAAATCTTTGTCTAACCAGTGTCCTGATTTGGGGTTAGGAAAATATCCACACATTCCTTCCCCCCTCACCCTCAGTCATCGGGTAAATAGGAAGACATAATTGCTCCTGTTTTATAGAGGAGCAGGAGTCAGCCGGGAAGGATAAAAGGGGCTTGGCCTAGGCTTCTCCGCTGGACTTCCCTCTTGTGTGGCACAGAGAGGGTTCCTCAAAGGCCTGGCAGGCTCTTCATCCCCAACCTCAGCATCCCTACAAAGAAAACACACTTCT